AAAAAAAATGAGGGCATGAGGCCTCCAGTAAAAACCTACACAGAGGCATATTTTAAATTAGCAAAGGACATTGCTCCTGGATGTGGGTTGGCTTTGGATTCAGCTATGATAGGTAAGTACAAGGAACTCACAGCATTCTTTGTCTTTATCTCCAGAAACCAGAGGACCGGCCACCCTTCTCCAGACTATTTGGACAACTGGCTGAAATCGCAGAATCAGGACTTTAGTAGAGACTCTCTGCCGGGCCAGGGACTGGATATCCTGAGTGTGGGGAGACATCCTCCTTCCACAGAGCATTAAGAGCTGTCAGCGCCAGCCCAGGACTCCCCAGAGGCAGCCTGGCCTGTGGTCCCCACACCTCAGCTGCCCTACACAGCCTCCTGACAGAGGCCACGCAGCTGAGGCCAGGCCAGCAGCGCAGTGAGGTCTCCGCGCCCTGCCAGCCTCCTGGCGCAAGAGCCCAGACTCCCACCCAACAGCACTCGGGAACATTTCTTATGCTCTTTAGCTATAGGGAGAGGCAGATGAGGACCACAGCTTCTTATTTTTATTATTATTTTAAACCTAGATATGATGCTTATGAATCAAGGGAATTTTTATTTAACCCAGTGAAGTATCCCAGTATATGAGCATGGTCCTTCAAAGGAAACCAGCGAGTTAAGACCAGGGACAGTGTTCTGTCGCCATCATTTTGTCAGCCATAGCTTTCTGCCACTGAGGAGCCAGGGCAGCTTCTCACACCAAAGGCTGGCGATCCTGAGAGGCAGCTTTGTGAGGCTTCACCGAACCCACCACCATCTTGTCCTTGGTGCAGCACGGTGGGCTTCACCAGGTGGGTTGGGGTGACCATTAGTGTCCCTGAATAGGACCGTTGGGTGTTTGATGTCCAGGCAATAGGAGAGTTTCTAAGAGTGGGAAAGCAATGAGTACCACAGCAGGCCTTAAGTTCCTATCACCTCAACTCTCCCACTTTGTACCAAGCCACTCAGTAGCTACTTCTGGACCCTCCTCTTTCAAGCCTTTGGCAGGCAGCACCTTGTCTGCACTACCCACCCCCATCAACAGAGGGCAGCATTGTGCTGGTCAGTGTGGCTTGACAGAAAAACAAGGTGATTTAGGCTCATGGGGTTAGCAGTTTTTTTAAGATCAAGACTTCAAGACTCCCAAGCTTCCAGGAGAGGAATAAGGAGCTCATTCTTCCTCAGACTATCTGGACGGGAACTGCGTCAAGCACTGATCCAGGTACTTCCATGATATACAAGGATGTCTGTTGTTGATTGAGCATCTGTATAAGCAAAGGGAGCCACACGCTGAGCCATTCCTATAGAATTTCACTTTACCATGTTTTCCTACCAACCCCTTGAGAGGGTGTTATTGTCCCCATTTTCCATATTATGGAATGGAGTCCTTTAAAAGTCACATACCTACCTGAAAACAACAGAACTGGGGACAACAGAGCTTGGATTCTAGTCCAAATTGTTACTACTGGAGTACAGATTATTTATGCTTGTTCAAAACTGCCTCCTACTGAGAATGAAGAGAATTGCAGAGGAGATCCGCGCTGGGGAGGGGAAGGACACTGGCAGCCATGACACGTCTAGATAACATGAGGAGTTCTGCCCCTGCAGACCGCGGCCGTGAGCCATCGGGCCTCAACTGGGATGAAGACTTCGCTTTCCACGTCTTCCCCTTGATCACAGTGAATGACTCGGGAGTTAATTAACTTGCGTCTTCCCAGCTCAACAGGCAGTTTGCATAAAGCCATTCCTAGATGGGCTTTACAGCAGCTTTAAGATTCTACTGCAGAAGCATAGTGCACCTCTAGTTATGGTTCTAACTTTGAGTGTTGTCCTCCTTCACAGCTCATGGGGAAGGGTGGTCCCTGATAGGAGAGACTTGATTTTCTTATACTGTTCAGATTAAGCTCTAATTATCACTAGTGTTGCGATCAGCTCTTTCTCTGATAAAAACTTAGAAACATTTCTTTTTTATTTTTATTTATGTATGTGGTGCAAGGTCTTGCTATGCGGCTCGAATTTGCAGTGATCCTTCTGTTTTTAGCCTCCTCAGCGTGGACACCTTCGCTCAGCGTGCCCTGGGGGCGGGGCCCGCACAGCATGCAGAACCAGGGATCAAACCCAGGTCCCTGAGCTTGCCAAAGCAGGCATTTAGTCTGTTGAACTATCTCGCTGGCCCGCAATCAGCTCTTTCTAAGTCCTGTGCTATTTTGACTGGATTGAGATACACATGCATGTATACCTTTTAACTATAGTTATTGTGAAATAGAGAACCTGAACATAAAATATAATTCAGAAGGTGATTTTACTAAACCACAGTCATCCCCTTCTCAGCATTTTGTATGTTCTCTTTTGGAAACCTTAACTAGGGATGATTTCTGGGACATCCAGCCTATAAGAAAAGTATCAGAACTGACTGATAACTGTGGTTTGGGTTAGCAAACTTCCCCAGGTATATTATCTTTCAACTCAGAGTCATGAGCCTTCAACTGAATGCGTGCCAATTGCTCATGCTGCATGTTCAGTGTCACAGAAAGGGCCTTCTGCCTGACATTTGTCCCACTTGTATCTTGAAAATGATGCCCCTTTCCCCAGAGAATTCCTTTATGCAAAGAGTTAGTGGTAGTTGTATTTCATAGACCTTGTGTTTTGTACTTTTTGTGATTCTGTATTTATATGTGGATCAGATGACTATTTATTAGTATGCAATCACTGCTACTGTCAAAAAGTTTCCCAGTATTCTTTACCCTTTGTAGAGTTCAGCAGGGAAAACAACTTCATGTGGCAAATAAAGCTGTGTACATTTCAACAACTATAGTGTGTATGGCTTGGGCTCCATATTTCCCAAATGGCTAATTCCAAAACTTTAAGTAAAAAGATCTCCGTAGGGTTTTATCTTCCACAAATTGGTAAAGACTATAATAGCCAAGAGCATTCACTCAGCAGAGAAATCTCAGATGCCTCAGATATGCTGCACACCCCACACAGTGATGGAACAAAGCTGAAAAGGACAAAACTCCTAGGCTGATTGACATGTAAGCGAGTGAAATTGTAATACAGCACAGACAGCAGCAGGGGAAATATGGCCAAAGAAGGCATGGGCCTGGAGAACATCGTGGAGCCTACAGGGGAAGGCCAGCAGCGGGGGACGCTTTCTAGAACCTTGCTGCTCAGAGTGTGGTCCCTGGAGCAGCGGGTCACCAGGCTTCTTCCTTGCTCTCAGGCAAGAAGCTGGATTTTTACAGCATCCAGGTGATCACGTGCATGTGTAAGTTTGAAGAGTACAGTCGTAAAGGATATATCTAACTGTGTCTTGGGAGAAAGTATATGTATGAAGTATCAAACATTTTCCAGAGAGAGGGAATGGAATATTTGGGGACACTCTTGGTTCAGTGTTGTCAGAGCATGTGAATGTGTCTCTCT